GCAGAGAGAGAAAGTGAATGTGAGAGAGAAGGAGAGGAAAAATCCAAGCAAGCAATCAAGGTATGCAGGGAAAAAAAGATGGAAATGTTAAGACGGATAAGGGAAGTAGAAAGAACAGGAAAGTGTGGCATTTAGAAGCATTCCAGCTTTGTGCTTTTAGATGTTTTGTGCTGGTGGCAGTAACTTGAGCAGTTGTGTTGCGTTTTTGTAAATGGTGCAGCGCGCTCAAGCAACGGGGCTCAGTGTGCGTCCCCCATCCACTCTGCTTTATCAGGTCCATATCACTGCCTATAGGAATTTTGAGGAAAGTGAGGTCCTGGAACAAGGGGGAAAGTAGAGAATCAGAGCCCCATGTGCTGGATTCCTGAACCCCCGACACACACACACACAACCATTCCCTTGCCATAAGCCACTCAGACAGGGATCTGGTTTCATGGTCAATTTTATTACACATGGATGTAAGGGGCTCCTACAATTAGGGAGGGCTTCTTAACAGGGTCTTGCTTATCCGCCTGCTTGTTAACCTGCTAGCTTGAACATTTCGTTTTCCCATTTTACATTCCTTCCCAACCTCCCCATTTCTCCCCGTGTCCAGTACCTTCTATTCCAATTCAGCGTCTCTAACTCAAGCCCGCTTTGTCCACCACCATCTCCTCTCTCTTCCAGCACCGGCCACCTTTCCTTTCTTCTTTGCTTTACGGCTCACATATGAGCTGTTAAGTTCTGAGTGTGCCTCCCTGTTCCGTAACCATCTGGGATCTGCTCTTCAGAACCCCTCCGGCCCTTTGAGGAGATCCGGTTTCCACGAACGTACACCCGCACCTCCCTCTTTCCTCACGTACATACACAAACACCTCCCTGTGGACCCCCTCGTCATCTTTGAGATTCCTCCCTCCTTGCCTTCCATTGTCCGTGTTTTTGAAGGTACGTCTGTGGATTGCGTGACGGTTGGATGTTCTGCCAAAGTAAATCCAGGAGGTATAGTGGCTCCTACTAATGTAGGGTACATGATGTCATTGGCTAGATCATGGACAAGGGTCGAAGGGCACACATGGACATTTGTAGCAATTTGTCTCCTCTCTCTCGTTCTCCCCTCCGGTGCGAGTTTATCTCCTGGCAGAGGGCCTCTTCCGCTTGGAGAGTGGCAACTGTATAACACCCCTCACCTGTTTTCAAAACAAAAACATGAGCTTGAGCATTTTTGAAAATCATCTCCTTGTTTTCATTCTCAGTAAGTTAGAGCGGGTCAGCCTGAAGGGGAGGTAGAGGGAACTCTGCATAGTGATGTTTAGTAACTCTGGCATGTTTTAGGAAAATTGTGGCACATTTGCTGTATTGCCTCATAAATCATTTTATTAACCCTTAGAACGTTCCTCAGTTTGACTGAATGAAAAATTATACACTTTTTTTTTTCTGACTGTGGAACCGAAACGGAGATGCTTGGAAGAATATTCACGTCCCTTTTTTCCATACTTGCTGTCAAGTTTGAAAAAAAACCAACAAAATTAAACCATATACTATAATACAAGTCTCCTGAAATTATTCAATAACTTTGTGTAAGGAAAAGACTGAAATCGAAAGGCAGTTCACCATAAAATCATGTATGACTTACTTTCTTCTATGGAACACAAAAAAAGCATTTCTTGAAAAATTTCTTGTTTTTTGGGTTTTGAACCCTATTGACTTTCATTGTGTGGACAAACATCCATCAAAATATCTTCTTTTGTGTTCTGCAGAAGAAAAAAAGTCATACAGCTTTGGAACGCCATGAGGGTGAGTAAATGTTTTGGGTGAACTATTCCTTGAGTCAGTCACAATGTCAGAAACAAGATTGCGCCCCAGTGCACATATACACACACTTGTTCGATTGTACAGACCTATGAGCAAAGATTTCCCCAGTGCAGTTCAATAAACATTTTATGAGTCCCTGCGCCCCACTAAACTCGGTCGGTATCGAAAACCACTTCACTCGTGAGACGGCAAATAAGCAAATACCGCCTCCCCCTCGTTCTCGTTCTCTCTTTTGCTTTGCAAATGAGTTTCTCTCTCTCCAGTGGCCAGTCATCTGTAGGTGCTCTGTGGCCCCCAAACCCTGAAATCTTACAGCTTTAAGGCAAACTGTTTGTTTTTACTGGGTTTTTTTTTTTTTTAGTACACGTTTCTTTTTTCCTATTTTTCAAGAGAGGAAATGAACGACGCATGTTCACACTGGGAAAGCCAGGTATACCTAATGTTAGCAGAGTTGACTGTATCATTTTTCCCTCCTCTTCTACATTTGTCGTTATCACGATAACTTTTATGCTTTCTGTAGGTCTGTACCAGGATTTACATGCTACAAGCTAGAGAGCTTAAGCCTGACTTTCCGAACCCTCCCCCCGAATCCTTCGCACTAACCCACTGAGCATGTGGAACAAATTCTCGAATGGGGTATTTTCTTCCTTGTGAGGTATTGACATGACAGTTGATCTAAAATGTTGCATTTTTTCCCAGGGGCTATAATGGCTTCCCTTCGTAGCGTCTCACCCTCTGGTCTTCTTCTCCGCATGTTGACTGCTGCCTTCTGTGGGGCAGAGTGAAAAACTGAGAGGTTGTTGAGTACAGGGTGTCTAAGAGCTGCTCAGAGGTTGTTTGTTCAACATTTTTATTTAACCTCTGACTAAGTGGCTTGTTAACAGGTACAGAACGAGTCGTGCCTACACAAGAAATCGAGGCAACCAGCGGCATCGTGCCTTGTGGGTATAATGTTGATGTCTGTTTTCTGTGCATTTTCTCAAACCTATATGACTTTTTCTTCTGTTGAGCACAGGAGAAGATATTTTGAAGAATGTTTCAATTGTTTTTGTTCATATAATTAAAGTCAGTGTGACTGTAACTTTCAATGTATGAAAAAGTAGGCATTAAAAAAAATTCCACCTAGGAAAGCAAACCCAACTGGTTTGGAATGTCATGAGGTTGCATAAATGATGACACAATTTTAATTTTACTGTGGACTATCCCTTTAAGATACTAATTCTTACCTAGGCCACTCACGTTGACATAATTCTGACCCAAACATGCACAACGACTGGTTTATCTGGCCCATTTAAACCCACGGCCGCCCCATGGTTGGTTAACATTGTTTATAACTGTAACAGAGGCGAGGATAGGAGAGAAAAATTGGGAGTTCGGGAGGTGGATGGAAGAGGGTGAGAAAACCAAACAGAAGGAGCCCAACCATCACATTCTGGTCAGGGAGCTGCCGGGAAACAAGCCGAAGAATCCAGAAGGGCAGGGTGTGGGTCTGCTTTTGTTCGAACGTAATGTCTTATTGATTCATTTCATCGCTGTGTGGTGGTGGAGTCAGTTGTAATGGTGGGCTTGCCAAAAGTAATCATGCTAATTTTTCCTTATTCCTGCCATAGATGTCAATTCAAGTGAGCTTTATTTAATGAAAACTAGGGATGATGTCCGATAAGACTTCACTACTTTGACCCCAACTCGTTTGCCGAGATATTTCACCCAAAAACGACCTTCCTGTTATCATTTACACACCCTCATGTTCCAAATGTCAATTTCTAATGTAAAACAAAATGAGAAGTTGTGAAAAATGTTTATGCTGCTGTTTTGCATACATTGGAAGCATTATTGTGACCACTTCAGACACCTTAGCCAATCAGAACCTAGCAACCACACAGCATTGTGATAAAAAAAAAAACACTCCAAACACCCTAGCAACCACATAAAAACCAAAAAACACTCTGAACGGAGGTTGTCAAGCTCCAAAAAAGCAAGTAGCAAGGGCTTAAAAGCAATCCAAACAACCTGTGTGTTAAAAGTGTTTTGAAGCCATATATGTGACTCTGGACCACAAAACCAGTCATAAGGGTCAATTTTTTGAAATTGAGATTTAGAAATCATCTGAAAGCTGAATAAATAAGCTTTCCATTGATGTATGGTTTGTTAGGATAGGACAATATTTGAACTATTTGAACATCTGGATTCTGAGGGTGCAAAAAAATCAAAATACTGAGAAAATTGCCTTCAAATCAAACTAATCAAAATTTAAGTTTTGATATATTTACGGTAGGAAATGTACCAAATGTCATTAACTTTTGCATATATTCACTTGTTCAGTTGCATATAGTCGCGTCGTGCTTGACATTGGTGGCATAGTGACATAGTTCTTGCAAGTCACTTTGAATATACAGAAGTGGGAATAACATTTAAAAGCTACAGCAGGGTAAATGTCGATGACAGTTTTAATTTTTGGTGAATTATCTCTTTAATTGGTAAAATAAGAAAAAATAAGAATTAAGAAAGCATTTTTTGCACAAATGATGTGGGGTTGGGTATCTCTATATGTTGCATGTTGTATTCAAACTCATGCCGCCCACATGAACACCACAGCTGAGTGTGTCAAAGCATGTATGCTCAGCCTCGTCTCCAACAAATTAGTGCATTTCTAATCTAAGAGGTGCGCAGACACGGAAACCTTGGGGCGCTTGTTAAATCTGTGCAATGGTTTGAACATGTGGAGGCTTGAATCTGTATCAAGCAGGGAGGTGAGTGTGCATATGTGTTTATATTTGAGAGAAGCTAATGTTTTGTTCTCTATTCTCTACATCTCGGCTCTTCTCTCACTGTCTCGGTTATTGCTTTTTCACACCCTTCTCCTCTGGGTTTAAAAGATCTCCGTCGCTCGCTTTCCCCCTCCTCGCTCAAATCCATTCCAGCTGAAACTTGCGTGAATATGCTGTGATCCCCTCTCACTGTAGGGCTCGAAGTAACACTCTGTCTATCAAAACGGATATCACAATCACTTCTTATAATGCTTGTAATTGAATTCATACAGATAAAATTTTCACTCCTAACAGCATGGGCTAAGGTGGAGATTTGATAACTCAAGCCCCAAGACTACCAGGCTTAGAGTCAGACTGGGCTCATTTCGAAATGACGGGGGGAAAGTGTGTCTGTACGTGTGTGTTTTGGCAGTAGTTTACAATGAGCTGTTTCTTTTACAGACGCAGAACCGCATGAAGTTAATGGCTGATAACTATGAGGATGACCACCTCAAGGCCTCCAATTCTGACCAGACCAATCACAAACCCTCTCCAGATCAGGTGAGTCAATCAGAGAGCACTTTACAGAACCACTTTGTACTTTCTTTATCCTTTACTTCTTCAGTTGGGTTGATGATTGATCATAATTAGAGTTAGTGATTTAAACAAACCCCTAACCCTAAGTCCCATGCCATTTATGCTAAGAATATGAATTATACCTTAAATTGTGCAGCCTGATGAGACAAGTTATATTATTTTTCTATTATTTCTATTATTTAACTTTTACATCACCATAAAACGGGTTAAAAAATCCCAAAACTTAAACTGAAACTTATACCTACTTTCTTTCTTTCTTTCTTTCTTCTCACTCACTCACTCACTCACTCTATCCGATTTACCGCTAAAGGCTGTATCCTGATTTATAAAAAAAGCCATTATAACCAAACATAAACAACAGGAAATTACATATTTCATATCCAATAAGGCACAGCATCATCAGTTCCAATTTGTGTATTATTTCATATTGGGTCACCAAAAAAAAAAAAATGCTCACGTTTTCTCATTCATGAATGTGCACGCACACACACATCCCTGAGTGTTTTTCTTGGAATAGTTCCGGCACACAGGATGATTCTGGAAGATTTAACTGGCTTTGTTCTTTGTTGCTTTTAAATGTTGAATTCCTTTGCCTTAAGCCTCTCTCCTCTGGATGGCTGTCCAACAGGAATTAGTTCATAAGGAGAGAAAGAGGAAAGAACTGACATGATAAAGGATGAATAGAGAGTGAAATTCAAAGAGAAAGGACAGCCTGTTGTATTCTTCTGTCCCAGCTCTCCCAGGAAGCACAAATCCAACTGGTTGTTATGACATGACTTGATGCGTTAAACGCAATGTGTCATACCTGTCCGTGGACTCCTGGAGTAATCCAGTTCAAGTGCTACATCCTAATTCACATGCTGAAAGAAACGTATCAATCAACAACACTCCACCCAGGCCTCGACACATATCCTGCTATTCCCAACTACATACATTTGTGTGTATGTAAGCTCATTGGAACTCTGTCTACACGCACATATACACACTCAATCTCCCATGCTCACACAGAAATCTGCTATAAAGCTATCCCAGGGTCTCTCCCCCATCGCAAACCCTTTCATTGTCTTTCCCGATTGCCAAGAAAACATTTAGCTCACATTTTCCTGTGATCTTCATTTCTCACTTACATATTTCCAACTCAAATAAGAACACCCTCACACATCAACACCTGAGCCCGCTCCAAACCTCCCCGAACACACTGTTATCACGTAAACATGCCGACTACAGAGCTGGGACCGTCAGGGACCTCAGACGGCATTCATTGCAGGTATTTTCCACAGCCATCCAAGACAGATGGGATAGAGGCCACGTGTGTTACTAATTTCAAGCTCATACTGCTATGGTTTCAATTCTTGTTGCAGCATAGCCGCCCCTTTTTTTGGGTGAAACCAGTTGCTTTTAATGCTGTTTCACTTTGGTTCAATGGCTAACTAATCACCCTTAACCCTCTGTTGAGAGATGGAGAAATTAATGGGAGCATAGTGTCTTACTCTTATTTATAACATTCAGGTTTTTTTCACTGCATGGGAAAAACTCACTGCTGCTCCTCACTGAGTGTTTGTCAAAGGGAAAATTGGTCACTTAACTTGAAATTTCAGTGCAATAAATGACCTGCTCTCACCCACTAATAACTTCTTTCTTTAATCCCATGCTGCCTTGGATTAAACCTGCACTCATTTTCCACCAATAGGACGATGAGGAGGGCATTTGGGCATAGCCAATCACGTGCCCTCTCCCAGCCATTTTGTTCAGAAGGGTGAGAAATGTATAAATGGGGAATGACGCTCTTCTTCTGTATTTCATCATGCGTTAACTGTCTTTGAGTGTGCTTATTTTTTTCTTCTCCAACACTTTCCAGTTCATCCTTTCATTTCTTTCTTCTTTTGGTCTTTTTTTCCCCTCTCTCATTGTTCTCATGTCCTGTGATTTTCTTTCATTCTGTCTGTTTTTTGTCTGCCTCATTTCGGCATATATTGGTGCTGATTATTTAATTATTTTTTTACTTTAAAAATATTGTCAAATATGACTTGCAGATATCATACACACAGTTTGATATCTGCAAGTCATATCCCCAAACACACACACACACACAAGTTTCCTTTTGTCCCCACTAAAATAAGTCACAGGTCTGTTCTGATTTGGTCTGCAGTGAAGAAAAATGTAAAGAAAAATAAAAATAATAATAATTAATTGAAAATAAATAAATTAATAAATGAAATATAAAATACCAGAAGCATTTATATGTATAATATTTCATTTAATTATTTATTGTTTTATTTAACATTGAATGACATAAAAAAGTAAAGGCTGCAGAAGCTTTTGTATTTTTATTTTTGTATCTTTTATGATGTATGTATTTATTTTTTTAAATGTATTATTCCAAAAAATACTTTACGAAACCAACTGAGAAACATTGCTTTACATACTGCTTTTATGAATAAACCACTGTAGCTTAAACCTTTAAAATCACTCTTTATTTCGATAAATTACTTGACCAGCTATTGAATTGACATATACTTTCCCATCCCCTGTCGAACATCTATTCAGGATTTCTGTCACGCAGAGAGTTGAATTCCTCCCTCCACCTTTATTATTTTACACAGACAGCCAAAGAACAAATCGACCTGTCTGCCTTTTGACTGCTCTGGTCTTTTCCTGTCTATTCCCTCCAAAAAACAACAACATTCTCATATTTGCTTCCACACTGACAGTTTTGATGGATGGTTTTGAGGAAACAGATAGACCGTAGAATACATATGAGCTGCACATGTTCAAACCATAGGACACATGCGCAACCGTTTGAGCTCTCCAATCAGAGCCGTTGCCCCATGCCCATGGTGATGCTAAATGCCATGTGGCGTTTTGACTGTAATTAATTAGCAGGTCGCTCCCCATCGATGCAGCCCACAGATAACACATGTCCATCGCATGAACAGTCGCATGCTGTAAAGCGCATATACTGTGAGTGCAATTAGGCGTAGCAGAGCACTGGAGAACAGAGTTGAATTGTGTGAGCTGTGGGCCGAGTTTCTCAGCAGTGTGAAGGGAGGGTTTTAATCCGAACAGCTGCCCACATACACTGTGTCCTATTTCAGGCAACTAATGGGCCCCTTTCGCTAATGTTTTTGCTTCGTTCGCAGTTCTTAACGTCTGAGCCGCTACGATACATTTCGGGGAAGAATTCCAATCGTCCACTACACCCACGGTGCCAAACCGTACATGTAACCGTAACATTAAAGTTGCTTCTTGTGTATCATATGACCATGTAAAACTTGTAATGGCATTTAGCAGGGGAGATCAAGACCCCAAGCCTCTGAATGTATTAAGGCTCACATAAAGGGCAGCCGTGTTCTCCGAACCATGTTCTCAGGGCAAACTGCAGTCGTACGTACAAGCGCATGATTAGAGAGGGTAATAATCTCAACATGACTCTGATCTCCCTCATGTTGAATTGTGGGTGGTCGAGGCCTATTTAATTGCTCGCCGTTTGGCACGATAACCCACTGCAACCCTGGAATCGGTTTCGGCTATGATGAAATGCAGTCTGTTTTAATCTGACTGTGTGGTGCATCGCTAGGTGTGTATTTACAGATGCTCTCTGGCCCTTGACTCTGTTTTGTGTTGTTGTTCTTTAGGGCTTTGCATTTTCTCCTGTAGCTTTGTGGATAATTGATACATGTCTGCTTTTGTTGTCCTCTTCCATCATTTCAGTGTCACTGTGTGATGATGTGTGAGGTTTTTGGTCATGGAAATTAACACCCATGAGTAAGGGAGCTTGAAACTTTCAGAGTTATTCCTGTTTCGCTAACAGAATATTTGTAAGCTTTGCCTTCAGGTAAATGTCAAGACGGAGTTAGCTTCAAATGTCAGGAGGACTGATAGAGCATCAAACCTTTTGAAGTAACTTGTCTTCTTGACTGTTTGTCCTCTTGCCTGTTTGAATTGATTTTGAAAAGACTTCTTCTCAGTTTGAGTCTGGATGTCTGAAGGAAGTGGGATAAACGTGATGTCCACCATCACAAACTTGACTGTACCATTTAATTTTCCGCGAAAACCGTAAGGCCCAGTGCCGGATGCAAGACATCCTTGTGAGCGAGAAATTAGTCAACCAGATGTTTCCATCCTCCCAAAACAGGTCAATCCACCACTTTTGTTCCTCTGCTGCATCTTTCACTAAATTTCTCATTCCTCCATCTTTCTTTTGTCACAAGTTTGTTTTCAAAGTGACATGATGCCAGTGTTAGCATGCGGAGCAGAAAAGTAATGAAGACTCCATTGTCGTGTCACCTCTATTTGACGACCTTAGACATTACTTACCATTTGGACGGTGCAATTCCATAGAAAACTGTGAAACAGAGTTTGGCAATCACTCGCATATTCCAGGGGTCAGTGGGTACCCGTCCCGCTGGAGCAACTAAGGTGTAACCTCTGCTGAACTCGTCCCATGAGCGCAACCACCCACCATTTGCCCACATTATTAAAACTGTCCCGCCCCTCAGTGAGAGAACAGAGACCTCGTTGCTGACTTGTTTTTTTTTTTCTTTCAGCTCAAAAATGGCTCAGTGGTCAGAGGGGGAAAATTTCAACAGCTCTGTTTTAGTCATTAATATAAACCCAAAATGCATGTTTGCTTTCTTATTTGCCTTTTGTACTTGCATTGTTTATTCCAGCTTGACTTTTGTCTTTCTGTCAGTTCCAACTGATTCCAGTCCAAATATTTATAATTAGATTAAAATGGGAAACATGTGGCGTGAGGGAAGTTGCAGGGGGTCATTGTTGAAACCTTCCCACCTCCATATGATTTCAATATAAAACTGGCCTCTGGCTCCATGCGCCTGGTGCAGACAGGAGGGTAGACAGTGGTGGGGCCCTCACTCCGTCTGGGGGACTTCGTTTGGCAGAGCACAAACTTGGGGTTTCTGCGGAGCCCCTGAACAATGCTGCCCCACTTCCTGTACCATGAA